ACAACATTTTTGTGTAAAGAGTTATAAACATGCCCATGAGTTCCAGTCACTTGCCAAACTATTTCCAGTTTACCCATATTTTAGTTTGTCAATCACCTAAGAACTGTCTAAATCCAATTATTAGTTCCTATTGCATTGGAATCATTGAATCAGTGAGTTTTACACAGCTATTCTTACCATTCAAGTAATAGATTCAGTGCATCATTATAACTTGGATTTAGGACACAGTGTGAAAAAACAGACTTTGGTGTGGCAGAGGCTGTTTTATAAAATCCAGATTATCTGCTTTGAATTGGGTTATATGGCAGTGTAGAAGGGGCCAGAGAGTGACAAACCAGGAGTCTTCCTTGAGCTGTAAGAGAAAGGTTTCCCTTCCTGATTTGTTTCTGGTTCATTTGACATGGTCAACATGATGCTCTCCAGATATTCTGGACTACATCTGTCATAAATCTTGCCAACATAGTTACCTGAGATTATGGGATTTATTGGAGCCCCCGGTGGCACAATGGGTTGAACGGGTGTTCCGGCAGGACTGCTGACCGAAAGGTTGGCGGTTCAAATCTGGGGAGAGGGGTGAGCGCTTGTCTGTTAAGCGGAGACATGAGAGACATGAGAGAAGCCTCCCACAGGATGGTAAAACATCTGGACATCCCCTGGGCAACGTCCTTGCAGACAGCCAATTCTCTCACAGCAGTTTCTCAAGTCGCTCCTGACACACACACAAAGGGATTTATTGGCAAAAACATTTATGAGAACCCGGGTTGCCTGTTATTTAGATTCTTGCTTGAGAGGGGTCAGCATGCTGCCCGGAAATGAGAAACCATAATTCGAAGCAATGGATATTTGTAGGTTTTCTTCTCCAGATGGAGCCTTTTTTTTACTATTGGATAGTAAAAAGCAGTAAAAAGAAACCAGGATAACATAAGTAAAAAGAAACTAGGATAACATCATTTGCAATGATTCAAAACTCTTGATACATGACAACAGATAAAATTTACATTTTTTTTACTAATTTTTCCCTTTTTCCTTTTTTTTTTCCATTAAGTTTTTTTTCTTTTAATTTTTACCCCATTTTTTAAACTTTCCTTCCTCCCTAGCCCTTCTACTCCCATCTCCATCAGTAAGGAAATTTCCATACCCTTTTAACCATAGCTAACTTCTTCCTCTTTCCTCCTTCCTACCTGTTAAACTTTCCTACCCCCTATTACCCCCCCCCTTTCCCCCATCCTTTATTCCCTTTCCCCCTAAAAATTCAATAAAAAATACTTTAAAGATGCAGTAAGGCCCTTGCAAAATTGAAAAAGTGAATAAAAACATCCACTTTTTAAACCTAGGAGACCACTTCTCTTGGAATCATTAAGACCCCTCAGCACAACTCTCTTGTCAACTTCTGTCAGAAGACCTAGAGCATTGTTTCTCAATCTGGGGGTTGCAAGGGAGGTGTCAGTGGGGCTAAGAACATAAGAAAACACAGTATTTTCTGTTGGTCATGGGGGTTCTGTGTGGAAAGTTTGGCCCAATTCTATCATTGGTGGGGTTCAGAATGCTCTTTGATTGTAGGTGAACTATAAATCCCAGCAACAACAACTCCCAAATGTCAAGGTCTATTTTCCCCAAACTCCACCAGTGTTCACATTTGGGCATATTGAGTATGTGTGCCAAGTTTGGTCCAGATCCATCATTGTTTGAGTCCACAGTGCTCTCTGGATGTAGGTGAACTACAACTCCAAAATTCAAGGTCAATGCCCACCAAACCCCTCCAGTATTTTCTGTAGGTCATGGAAGTTCTTTGTGCAAGTTTGGTTAAATTCCATCATTGGTGGAGTTCAGAATGCTCTTTGATTGTAGGTGAACTATAAATCCCAGCAACAACTCCCAAATGGCAAAATTCAGTTCTCCACCCCCATGCCACCAGTATTCAAATGTGGATGTATTGGGTATTTGTGCCAAATTTGGTCCAGTGAATGAAAGTACGTCCTGCATATCAGAGATTTACATCGCAATTCACAACAGTAGCAAAATTACAGTTATGAAGTAGCAACAAAAATAATGTTATTGTTGGGGATCACTACAACATGAAGAACTGTATTAAGGGATCGCGGCATTAGGAAAGTTGAGAAACACTGACCTAGAGATTCCTGAAGAGAAAAATAATTCTAAAGTTTTAAAAAACATATCTAGAACTTAAAATTTTTGATGGTACATTGCAGACAAGTAAAATCACCATTTTATATAATGGAAAGGACATAAATAAATGTGACTAAAATATGGGGAATTTTGAATAAGAAACAATTGCAGAAAACCAGAGTATTCTAAAAGTTTAGTTGTCTCTTGCTTTGATTATTATACCCAAGGGTGACTTTCCTGTTTCGCATGCATGCTAATACATGACTTCTTGTTTTTGAGGGTGATTAAAAGAAGAAAGAAAGCCTTTTGTCTGTTTTATACCTTGATTCTAAATGCATTTCCCTTTGATGCTAGTAGTTTCACTGGTTTTAGTTGAGTTGGCTTCTAAGTAAGATCACTGCAGGTCAAAAACATTAGGCTCTACTTCTATCAGATTTCAAAAGTTGCGACTTGTTAGTTTAATCTTGCGGTCTTTGTAAAGAAGCCAGCGTTCAGATGAACTGAACAAAGCAAGCAAAGCGGAGGGGTTTCTCTTTTTGCAAATTAGGATGATAGAGAACAGAAAACATAGTGAAATATTCTAGTGTTGCAAAGTACTTTGGGTTTTCTTAATACTTCTACCATGAAATGGTCACATGTTAGTGATGAAAGAGACATACCTACTTGTAATGCAGTTACATTGGAAAATATCTTCATATGATTGAGGCATAGCCTCGTATTAGAGATGTGGAAAATATTTACACTATTTCTTGTTCTTGATCAGAGATGCTGTTTTAAATGTCAAGACAGCCTGTTCTGGAATTGGCAGCCCGTCTGAGAGCTTCCAACACAAGAACAGGACAATGAGTGCTTTTTTATTTTGAGTTTTTCCCTATGATTTGCATAAGAGGACATCTGCACTAAATTGTTTTTTCCCCTATGTAAAACAAAAAGCAAACGTTTCCCCTTGACATTAAGTCTAGTTGTGTCCGACTCTTGGGGGATGGGGTGGTGGTGGTGGTGCTCATCTCCATTTCTAAACGGAAGAGCCGGCATTGTCCATAGATGCCTCCTAGCTCATGTGGCTGGCATGACTGCATGGAGCATTGTTACTTTCCTGCCAAAGCGGTATCTATTAATCTACTCACATTTTCATGCTTTTGAACTGCTAGGTTGGCAGAAGCTGGGCCTAACAGCGGGACTCAACTTGCTCCCTGGATTTGAACCGTCAACCTTTTGGTCAGCAAGTTCAGCAGCTCAGCGGTTTAACCTGTTCCGTCACCAGGGGGCCCAATATGTAAAACAAAACACAGATGATGGCGATGATGATGATGATGATGATGATAATAATAATAATAATAATAATAATAATAATAATAATACTTTATTTGTATTCCATCCTATCTCCACGAGGGGACTCAGGGTGGATTCCAACATATACAGAGAAAAAAGGCAAACACTTAATGCCTAGAAACAATGAAACACAGATAAAGAGATAAAGGTAAAGGATTCCCCTTCCAGTTCTGGGGATTGTGTTCGTCTCCGGCTCTGGGGGTGGTGCTTATCTCCATTTCTAAGCCAAAGAGCCTGTGTTGTCCATAGACACCTTCTAGGTTATGTGGCTGGCATAACTGCATAGAGCACTGATTACCTTCCCGCCAAGGCGGTAACTATTGATCTATTCACATTTGCATGATTTCGAACCTCTAGGTTGGCAGGACCTGGGGCTAACAGTGAGATCTCATCCTGTCCCATGGATTCAAATGCCAACAAGTTCAGCAGCTCAGTGGTTTAACCATGGCACCACTGTGACCCCTTACATAAAACAAGCACTGAAGGACTGACTCATGAGAAAAATACAAACCCCCTGGCACAAAACTTTCACAAAACTATTGTAACGGACTGCAGGAACAGTAACTGGAGAAGGCAAATACCTTGTCATCTTCTGGATGGTATGGGAATGATATGTGTGTATGTGCCTTCAAGTGGCCTGTTGACTTGAAGTCATCCCATGAATTTCATAAGGCTTTCTTATGCCAAGGATACCCGAGCTGGTTTTACCAGTTGCTTCCTCTAAACTTATAGCCTACACATTTCATTAATGGTCTCCCATCCAGGAACTAATCATGATTGTTCAACTTCTAAGATCAGATTTAATCTACAAACCAAAATTTGCATCCTACTTTATGTGTGGTCTGAATACATGTTCACAAAAAATAAAACCAGGTTTAGGTGGTATAGAAAGAAAGGCAACAAAACAGGTGTTGATTCTGGGTTTGACTCCATGCTTGGTTTTGGTAGGGTTCTGAAGCAGGAGAGAAAAAGGCAAGGAGATAATATAATACAGTCTGGGACAGCAGAAGAACTACAGAGTTCGCAATGATATCCATCCCATGATCTTACCTCCTTTATGTCTGATGGTTGTATCAAAATATTAGCAAAGGTGAAAGAGAAGTATAATAATAGAGAGATAAAATGTTAATTCCAGTGTTTCTGGTCCTTATTCCACGGAGCTATTTTTCCTTAATGCTGTGTGTTTTCCTGGAATGTGCCTGCTTTGAGGTCGAAGAAGGCATCTGGCAATACTTCATGTTTGTTACGATTGTCAGTGCAGCCAGAGCAAACACTATTAGTAGGTGAAACAGGAAGTAGCTCCATGACTCCAGATTCAATTTTTTAAAAGACACGCACTGGAATAATACATTAGACACATGAACTTGTGACATAGCTCTTGGACATTTGGTCACTAGAAAGATATCTAGCTGATCTACTGAAGGAGAGTGGCGAGATAAAAATATACACTTCTCCTTCTGCAGCGTATATCTTGAGATCTACTCTGTTGAAGTTAATGTATTCCAAAGTATTTTAAACCTTATATCATTTTCTTTATTTAGGAATGTTTTAAGGGAAGCTGGGCTACCCACAAGTTGTTACACAAGAAAGCAAGTAAGTAAGCTTTTCCCTTTGCCTTTATTGTCCTTTGTTATTGTCTTTATATCAGCGGTAACGTCAGGCCATTGGGAAAAGGGATGCTACTGTATCTAGCAGGCTTCTCCAAATCTATACTAATTATGGTTTGTTTTCATCAAGGTCGCAAATGTGAATATGAGTTATGTCACTTCAGGCTGCACACGTAAGGGATGGATTACTCCTTCATGCAAAACAAAATTAAAACTGAGCAATCTTGGGGAGAAGGTTTCTGGGTTAGCTTTCTCCTTGGCAATGTTCTTTGCTTTGTTTTAAAAGCATAGTAAGCCTTCAGCGTTCACTGCGGTTAGGGACACTGGACCCCTTCAAAAGTGGAAAAAACTGTGAATTAAAAATGTTATTTTTTTTTACCTGAGATGACACCTCTCTGCGAATCACTAGGTCCTCCGTTACGCCTCCATTCTCACCTTCCTTCAGAAGAGCCACACTGGAGAACCTAGAGATTCCTAGGGAGAAAATAACAATCAGATCTGCAAAAGTTAAACCCATTAATGTGAAGAGCCATCTGTTCACTGAAGAGCACGCACTCATGTGAGCCCACAACCAAAGTCTGAAATGGTCCAAGCATGAGAGGTGTATCACTTTAGTCTCATTTCCTGAAAAGGGTCTGTTTAGCTTCTAAATCTTCCATGGATAATTACATTTCTGTTCAATAGGGACTGTGTAGATGTGTAGGACTTTGGACATTTGTTTCGTAAACAGTTGCTGTGCTATGCTGCTTCAGCAATTGCTTCTAAATATTTGAGGAGGAGGTAGAAGCAACAGCCAGTTTAGTTCAGAGAGGATTTTTAAAAAAAACTGAGCAGAAAATTAAAATATAATTGTGTACAACAATAATATAGAGTTCTTTCACATTGCACATTTTCTTATAAATATGATTCCACTTGAAATGTCATAGATTGGTAATCCTAAGATTTGCAGTATAGGGAGAAGCATACATAATGGGGAGAATCCCTGAAGTTACATATCCTAAGATTTTGTGGTATGCAGCCATGGCAGTCAAAGTGGAATTATTGTGAGATAATGTTGTAATGTAAAAGGGTCCTGAATTCCGCTTCTGGTATTTTGAAAACATCCACTTCATCTTGGACCAATTTGGAGGCTGATTGCTTCATCTTGATCTAAATATGAATATTGTCTACAATTGAAAATGAATCAATAGTTGAAACTTTTTTCTAATAGAACTCTGTTGGAATCATGAGTAATCTCCCTTTAAATAATAATAATAATAATAATAATAATAATAATAATAATAATAATAATAATGATAACTACTACTACTACTTTGGGAAGATGGTGGCGGGGCATAAGAATAAAGTTATTATACTGACACTAAAACAGTATGTCACAGCAAACGAGATCTGTATGCTGGATTTCATATCACAAAATCACAAGGGAAGTGTTTGACTTGTGATTTTGTGATACAAAATCCAGCATATAGATCTCGTTTGCTGTGACACACTGTGCTTTTGTGTCAGTATAATAACTTTATTCTTATGCCCCGCCACCATCTTCCTAAAGGGACTCGGGGCAGCTTACATATGGGAAAGAATGTCCACAAAACATACAAGTAAAAGCAATCCATAAAACAAAACACATTAAAATAAAAGTATCCTAAAATACAACAACCTAGATAAAAACATGCTTAAACATAAAAGTATGAAACTAATTGTAATGGAGCTCCATCAGATAGTGACGAGGATTACTAAAATGGGCACATCCAAGCTAAGAAGGGCTGGGCAATGGATAGTGCAAACAGTGTACCATAGGGACAGGGAAGTGGATGCAGTGCAAAACAGAGTACTACCTGGCAACCTAGAGACTGGGCATTTATAAATAGGGACTAGTCATTCTCAAATGCTTGTTGGAACATCCAAGTTTTCAGATCTCTGCGAAAGGAGGACAGTGTGGGTGCTTGCCTAATCTTCCTGGGAAGGGTTGTTGTGACAATGGTGGAAGCGAATAAAGGGCATCCCCGGCAGATCTTAGAGCTCACGCGGGTTCATAGCAGGAGATGCGATCATGAAGATAGGTGGGGCCCAAACCCTTTAGGGCTTTGTAGGTCATGATCTACACCTTGAATTGGGACCGGAAACTTATGGGCAGCCAGTGGAGCTGTTTTAATAGAGGTGTCATGCACTCCTTATAATTAGCTCTAGTTAGAAGTTTGGCTGCCGACCTTTGGACCAATTGCAGTTTCCAGACCATCTTCAAAGGCAGCCCCATGTAGAGTGCATTGCAATAATCCAATCTGGATGTAACCAAGGGATGGACCATCATGGCTAAGTTGCGGATTAACCAGCCAAACTTCACTAGAATGGTTAAGGGGGCAGTGACTTGTGCTATATGGATTTACATTCATATAAGAAAGTTGGTGTGTTATAGTGGTTTGAACATTGGACTGCGACCGGAAATTAGTGTTTGAATTCCCACTTAGCCATGGAAATTCACTGAGTGGCCTTGGGCAACTCATACTTCCTTAGCCTCAGGAGAAAGCAAATGCAACCTTCTTGCCAAGAAAACCCCATGATAGGTTTGCCTTAAGGTTGCCATAAATAAGAAACAACTTGAAGGCACCCAACATTTTTCTTAAAAAAGGAAACTGCCAGTGATATTTTCATTGCTTAACAGAATCGGATGGCATTTGTGGAATGATTTCAATTTTAGAAAATGCCAGAAAACTTACTGAAATTAACTTTGACACTTTCTAAAGGAGGGAAGTGAGGATAAATTGTATTCCCTTACCTTCCCTCATGATTTTTAAATAATTGCATAATAATACTTTTTAATACTCTGTCATAGAAATGTCCTTTGATAAGAAATTTGCAGTATTTCAGATGGATAAGCCCAATAGGGAGAAGGTTATGAAACATGAAAAATAATTAGACTTTCTTACTTAGTTCGCACTGCAATTACAGAGAATGAAATTGGACAGGAACTGGACCCTTCATGGCAAAACAACTTGAACCACCAATACTTTCAAAGCAGACACCTGTTGATGCACTCTCTGAAGGTCCTACAGTTTCAGCTAAGACAGTTGTTCCCAACCTTTGGTCCTTGGGTGTTTTGGACTTCAGTTCCTACGATTCCTAACAGTTGGTAAGCTGGCTGGGATTTCTGGGAGTTGAAGTCCAAAATAACTGGAGGACCAAAGGGTTGGGAACTACTGAATTAAGACAACCTTGGCTTCTTGCTAAAGGAGAGGGAAAAGCACTTTGATATTGTTTCAACATCCCTTCCTTGGAAATTTAAGACTGCTGGCAAAACTATTTATTATGGTTAGAAACTGCCAGTGACAAAACTATACCCTTTTTAAGTCTACAGAAGGGAAAGAAAAGTAAAATCTATCTAAAGAAATGTCAGATAGCCTTTTGGTTTTTCTTGAAGATTGTTTTTTTTTAAAAAAAAAAATCACATCAGAAGCAACTTGTGAAATTGCAAGCCACCCCTGGTGTAAGAGAATTGCCGTCTGCAAGGACGTTGCCATCCTGTGAGAGACTTCTCTCATGTCCCTGCATGGAAAGGTGAAGCTGACAGACAGGAGCTCATCCCGCTCCCCAATTTGAACAGCTGACATTTTGGTCAGCAGTCCTGCCAGCACAGGGGTTTAACCCATTGCGCCACTGGGGGCTCCTTCTTGAAGGTAGTTGACTAGCACAACAGAATTATGTTGTAACTTTGCTTTTGTTTTGCAGAGGATGATAAAGCTAAGAAGGAAGTATCTGCCTGGACTGTAGATGGTGATGTAAACACAGATCCGTGGTCTGGCTATCGATATACTGGCAAACTCAGGCCCTATTATCCACTGGTAAGAAGCTGAAATTTTGTTTTCGTTTTCAGTCCTTCCAGCAGAAGTCACAGTGAGGAAATTCTCCAATGATTATGCCTCTCAGCTGGAAAAAAATGTTGTATAACTATTATTTTGTTAGAGACTTAACAGAAGAACATTCCAGTTATTAGTTATTCTGGGACTATATATAGCTGGAAATTTCCGGTAGCTGTGATAAATTATGAGACTGTATTAGAGTGCAAATTAAATCTGCTAAAGGAGAAAAGTGAAAGGAAGTGAATTGTCGAATCTATTTTAGTTAGATATTCAATAATTAATAGGTTTGATCTCATGCTTCATTCCCCACACCACAAGCACTTGTCAGTTTGGAAAGAACTGGAAATATGCCACTAAACAGGAAAGCAATTTGATATGAGGAAATCATAGAATTATAGTATCTTAGACTTGGAAAGGACCCCCTGGTAGTGCAGTGGGTAAAGCACTGAGCTGCTGAGCTTGTTGACCGAAAGGTCGCAGGTTCGAATCCGGGGAGCAGCGTGAGCTTCCGCTGTCAGCCCCAGCTTCTGCCAACCTAGCAGTTTGAAAACATGCAAATGTGAATAGATCAATAGGTACCGCTCCAGTGGGAAGGTAACGGCGCTCCATGCAGTCATGCTGGCCACATGACCTTGGAGGTGTCTACGGACAGTGCCGGCTCTTCGGCTTACAAATGGAGATGAGCACCACACCCCAGAGTCGGACACGACTGAAATTCATGTCAGGGGGAAACCTTTACCTTTACCTAGACTTGGAAAGGGACCCCTATCTACTCTATTCCTGCCATGCAGGAAAACACAAGGCACCCCTGAAAGATGCTATCCATCCTCCAAAGATGGAGTGTCTTATTTCTGGTAGCCAAGAAGTAAGGACATTTAATACATGTTCTTCCTTGAACATACTAATTTTATAGTTCACCTTTAAAAATTGGTTATTTTCCTTCAGGATGGATAGGATTGACACATAAATGCAAAGTGAGTTAATCTAAATTGTGTTTTATTTAGACGCCAATGAGACCTGTGCCGAGTTACATTCAAAGACCGGACTATGCGGATCACCCCTTAGGTAATTATAGGCATACTGGAATTTTCAGTTGTTAAATTTGTGTTGGATTTAAGCTGTATTAAACAATTTGCTTCATAATCGATCCATTCTGCATGGGCCCATCAAATGGTTAGAATATTAAGGAGGTTTTTTTGTGACCAGTGAAAACAAAGTTCTAAAAAGCAGCAAATAAATAACCACCAGCGAGTCAGGTATTCTCTAAATCTTAAATTCTTATTTTGATGTTTAGCTTCTAAAAATCTTGCATTTACTGTAACACGTGAATTCTAGATGTAGGCAACCTCTTTTCTTCCTGATGTTTGTGACTACAACTCCTATATACACTGCTGTCTGGATGGCCAGTGGTTAGCAGTGATTGAAATGATAGTCCAAAGCCCTGGAGGGGATTCATGTTGCTTATAATAGGTCTTTTGGGTAAGAAAATTCATGCTAGGATGATAGCTTATTACACTGCTTTCATCCACAGTCTCTGATTAAAGTAGTGTTTCTCAACCTGGGGGTCGTGACCCCGGGGTAGAGTCATGAGGGGGTTTCAGAGGGGTCACCAAAGACCATCAGAAAATTTATGTTTTTGATGGTCTTAGAAACCCCTTTGGCAGAGAAGGCTGAAGATTTCTCTGCCTGTCTTCTTTCTTTTTGGAAACAGATGGTGAATCCTTCCACCAAAAGCCCCTCTCTGCTGTGATTGGTTGCCTCTCAGTCAAGGGGAGGACTGTTTCTGAGACTCCAAGCAGAAAGGGAAGAGTAGGCATTCTCCGTGTTTGGCAACATGGTGCCCATGTGTGGGCGAGGGAGATCACATGAGACTGGAGGGAGGCTTGCGCTAGCAAGTCCTTTCAAAGCAGGGGGGTTCTGTGTGGGAAATTTGGCCCAATCCTATCTTGGGGGTTCAGAATGCTCTTTGATTGTAGGTCAACTATAAATCCCAGCAACAACAACTCCCAAATGTCAAGATCTATTTTCCCCAAACTCCACCAGTGTTCACATTCGGCCATATTGAGTTTTCATGCCAAGTTTGGTCCAGATCCATCATTATTTGAGTCCACAGTGCTCTCTGGATGTAGGTGAACTCCAACTCCAAAACTCAAGATCAATGCCCACCAAACCCTTCCAGTATTTTCTGTTGGTCATGGGAGTTCTGTGTGCAAGTTTGGTTCAATTCCATCGTTGGTGGAGTTCAGGATGCTCTTTGATTGTAGGTGAACTATAAATCCCAGCAACTACAACTCCCAAATTACAAAAGCAATCTCCCCCAACCCCACCAGTATTCAGATTTGGATGTATTGGTGCCAAATTTGGTCCAGTGAATGAAAATACATCCTGTATTATCAGATAATTACATTATGATTCATAACAGTAGCAAAATTACAGTTATGAAGTAGCAATGAAAATAATGTTATGGTTGGGGGTCACCACAAGATGAGAAACTGTATTAAGAGGCTGCGGCATTAGAAAGGTTGAGAAACATTGGATTCCAGAGATCCATCTAAAGTTCCATTTCTCAAGAAAAAAATAATCAGCAAATGTGCCTTTTTTGTTTGGGATGTAATTATAATAAGTGCCTGGTTTCCAAGTGTGCATGTCAGATGATACATTTTGTGTAATGTCTCCCACTCTCTACTTTCCTTAAGCATCTTTCTAGTTTTTCTCCACAGTGAAATGTTTGAATGATGACACACTTGAGATGTGTTTTGTTCTGTGTCATTTGTTTTTACTTCTTGTTATATTATGAGCTATTTCAATTAGGTTAGTATAGTTTCTTGTGCTGCGTACACTGGACTAACCTAATTAAAGCAGCTCTTTTTACAAAAAAGGGAGTGAAGACACTGAGTATAAATAAAACTTAATTGTAAAGTTTCCCATCGTTTCTCTTTAGGTATGTCTGAATCAGAGCAGGCTCTTAAAGGAACTTCCCAGATAAAGATTCTTTCCTCAGAGGATATAGAAGGGATGCGAGTAGTGTGTAGGGTAAGTTCAGTCTGTAAAATCTTGGGAGTCTAAAACATTGGAGATACAACATCTTTTCACACTTTTGTGACAATCTGCAGGAAGAACATGAATCATAACAAGAACAGTTACATTGTGACAAGTATCTGTCTTAATGAATCACTTCTGTTCTTTTTCTTTGCAGCTTGCTAGAGAAGTACTAGATGTTGCTGCCATGATGGTGAAGCCAGGAGTAACTACTGAAGAAATAGACCACGCTGTTCATTTAGTAAGGATGCTCCAATGAGGCTCTGGACTTTTGTTGTATCTTTATGTCTAAATCAGGACAGGGAATCCTTGGCCTTCCAGATGCTTTGGATTTTGTATCCCATAATCTCTTTCTGAGTAGAAATTGGGGTGTGTGTGTGTGTGTGTGTGTGAGAAGCAACTTGAGAAACTGCAAGTCGCTTCTGGTTCGAGAGAGTTGGCCCATCTACAGGGACATTGCCCAGGGAACACCTAAATATTTTACCATTCTGTGGGAGGCTTCTCTCATGTCCCCACATGGAAAGCTGGAGCTGACAGATGGGAGCTCATCCCATCTCTCAGATTCGAACCACTGACATTCAGGTCAGCAGTTAAGCCGGCACAAGGGTTTAACCCTATTGCGCCACTGTGGCTCCATCTGAGTAGACATGATGGGAGTTTATATCCAACCAGATTTTGAAGATCAGAGATGCCCTGGTCCAAGTAACAGACAGAGCTGGTGGATCCACTGCTAAGAGGTCATCACATCCACTCTGGATTTTACTGTTGCTCTTTCTTTAGTTGGTTTAAATTGTTTAGAAGTTCTGCTGATGTTAACTTAGGGTCCGGCACCCATAGAACTACCCCTCAACTTAGATAAGTGGCAAGAAAATCCACAGTAGAAATGGATAATTAATTATCGATTTATTAAAATACCCTAAAATGTAGGCATACCAGAGATGGTCATTTCCTTCTATAGTCTCGTCCAAGTGTTCTCAACCTGGAGTCTGGGGACCCTTTGAGTCAGTGATGTTGTCACGGGGTCTGCAAATAATTCATTATTATTAGTATTGATACTATTATTTTCCTGCTTCTTGGCAGGAGGTTGGACTGGATGGCCCACAAGGTCTCTTCCAACCCTCTGATTCTAAGTAAGGTTGTTTTAGTCTGATTCTAGATTGATATTGTCTCTTCATATTGGCAGCAGTTCTCCAGCAGAAACTTTTAACCGAAGGTGCTGAAGTATGAGTCTTTGATAAAAGGGCAATGATCAGTGATGTCATCTGATCCCTCCCCATATTACAGTTAAGAATGCAGAATGAATAATTTCTGTAAATTTGCCTGAGCAGTGATTTGCTGGAACTTTTTTCATGCTGATTATTCTTTTCTTGAAAGTGTACAATAATTTGGATATTTCAAACTTTGTTTCAGGCTTGTATTGCCAGAAATTGCTATCCATCCCCACTGAATTATTATAATTTTCCTAAGTCTTCCTGTACGTCAGTAAATGAAGTGATCTGTCATGGAATTCCAGACAGAAGACGCTTACAAGAAGGTGATATTGTCAATGGTAAGAAATAATAATTGTGGTTTTTTGCTTGTATTTAGAAGAGGTATCTACTGGGAAAACTAATTTGGATCTCGTGCTAATATTTATATATTTTTGGAAAATAGCTATTCAGAACCTTTTGGAAAAACCAGAAATCTCCACAGGCTTTTTGAAGCTGATCCTTTTGGAGATTAATTGGCATTCATGCTATTCGGAATAATCATAACCTTGTTAGAGAGCGTAGCCTTCTGTAAAGTATGGCCTTCCAGAGAAGAGTTAAAAACTCACTTGAGTCAGTCTTCTCCTTAGTGATAAATACCCACTAGTATTCGTGCATCTAACAGGTATGTCAACTGTTAGATTGATATACCTAGATATCTCTTTGAACTGTTAAGAACAAAGATATGCCAATGTACAAAAAAACATATAGCAGAGTTTCAGAAGTGTTATTTCAGTTGCCCAAAAACATCTACTCTCCTTTAAAACATTTTAGTTTAAATCATGCTCTCAAGAGACAAAAAGTAATGTAATCTTTATTAAAATTACATAGTTGGTTTTCTCTCAGACTTCATGTATTCAGCATACAGGTACTTTACATATCAATCCAGTTACAGATAGGATTTGAGGTAGTTCAAATCCTGTGCAGACAACACAGGGCATCTTTCTTAGAATCAACAGTCCAAAGTCTAAAACATCTCTCCAGCCTGAGAGTCTAATGGAGCACCTAAAGCATTCTAAAAAGCATACTGTTTCTAAAATGGAGTCTGAGATCTGAATAGTCTCAGATCTGGTCACATGATCTGCAGCCCCTCCCACAACGTAGAGTTAAGGAAAACTACATACCAATACACACATATACAATACAGTAATCAAACTGAATTATATACAAACAAATTATTAGTGAAGGCTTGAAGAAGTTTGCTACCCCCAACATATATAACCTGTCTAGTTGTTTATAAATCGAAACTGAAAGATGTTGGGTTGTTTTCTTTCCGTAATATTGTTTTCAAAACTTGTACAAAAATCAAAAATCATTGTAACATTGTAGATTATAAAATGTGTACAACTGAAAACATCGTAGCAGATCCTTTTGGAGTAATTTTTCAATTTGGGTGCATCTACTCTGTAGACCAGGGGTCCTCAAACCTTTTAAACAGAGGGCCAGGTCACAGTCCCTCAAACTGTTGGAGGGCCGGATTATAATTTGAAAAAAACATGAATGAATTCCTATGCACACTGTACTTATCTTATTTGTAGTGCAAAAAACACTTAAAAACAATAATGAAAATGAAGAACAAATTTAACAAATATAAACTTTATAGTATTTTATTGGGAAGTGTGGGCCTGCTTTTGGCTGACCCTGAGCAAGGGCTGGGTAAATGACCTTGGGGGACCATATCCGGTCCTCGGGCCTTAGTTTGAGGACCTCTGCTGTAGAACTAATGCAGTTTAACAGTACTTTAACTTCCATGGCTCAATATTATTGAATCATGGGAGTTATAGTTTTACAATTTTATAGAATCATGGGAATTGTAGTTTGGCCTTTCCTGCCAAATGGTGTTGTGGGTGCCTCACCAACTATAACTTCTGGGATTCCATAACATTGAGCCATAGCAATTAAAAGTGGTGTCAAACTGCATAAATTCTACAGTGTAAGTGCATGAATGGGTTTATTTATGTTGCAAATGATTTCTAGTAGTCTGCAGAGATGCTCTCAACACATAAATACGAAAGTGTGTCAGTGAAACATCCTTTATTTTAGGAGACCTCAAGAGGGCCTTTTCCAGACCTACTATCTGGAATCCTTTATTTAAACTAGGGATAGTGAGGATTAAAAATGTTCTGCAAACAAAGTATTCTACCACATTGCTGTGATTCCACATTTTTTCTCTGCCTTCTTGAAAAGGGGACAAAATTGCTCTTGGAAATGGTTTGCACGAAGGAAATAAATCTATAGGAATCCTGCCATCTGCTCTGAGAGGCAACCTATCACTTGCCAGAAGTTCTCCATGAAATTGCACACTTTTCAAGACTCCTTGGCTGCTCCCCTGAGTAAGAAGTTGTGTTACCTTAATACAATTGAATCTGAAGATACATTGATTTCTCTTTTCTTCCAATATAGTGGACATTACTGTTTATCGGAATGGCTACCACGGAGATCTCAATGAGACATTTTATGTTGGAGAGGTTGATGAGGGTGCAAAGAGACTAGTCCAGACAACATATGAGTGCCTAATGCAAGCAATTGATTCAGGTATATTGAACACCACTGCAACTGGGGAGTCTGTTACTTTCCACCATGATGCATTGTGCTGAATTCTTTCTTTCCACTGTGATGTATTTGTGCTGAATTGCTGCGGAAAGCTATAATTTCATACTTTTCAATGGTGTTGAAAGGCTTACTTAAAATGATTAGTCCTAATAAATGCCTTGAATACTCACTCTTGAATTGACCATTTTGTGGTAATTACTTTAAAATTGACAAGGCATCAAGTTTCAGACTTCTTGCTGGATATCTGACACGTATAATCTGTTTATCACATTAGATCTGCGTCCTTGCACAGTGTTGGTGAATGACAAAATAGGTAGAAGTGTTTGAAGGCAATTTATAAATCATAAATAGTGCTTTTGCCATCACAAGATATTTTATGTGATTTATGGGATGCATTCCAACATTGTCAGAAAACTCGTGACAGTTGACAACATAAAAAGTTCGAAGCTAAACTGATGCCTGGAGTTCTTTCCTGTGAATTTTTTTCACATTTGCAAGGTTCCTGGTTTCTTGGATGATCATATAAACCTATAATTTTTGGTGCTTAGTAATGGAACTAAGCAACATTTTTATTCTCATTGGATTCTCATAGCAGTGAAGTTACCTGGATAAATAGCATTGTTCCAGGATTTGTTAGGCCCCTTGAGCATATCACCTTCATTGCTGTCTTCCCTGTAAGCCGAAAGAGGCAAGGTACTGGGATTGGTAGTCTAAGTACCCTATATACTCGAGTATAAGGTGACCCAAATATAAGCTGAGGCACCTAATTTTATCAAAAAACCCCAGGAAACGTATTGACTCAAGTATAAGCTGAGGGTGGGAAAGCTACTGGTAAATTTCAAAATAAAAATAGACAGCAATAAAATTACATTAATTGAGGCATCCGTAGGTTAAATGTTTTTGAATATTTACATAAAACTGTTATTTAAGATCAGACTGTCCAACTCTGATTAAACCATTATTCTAACCTTCAATGTGAAAGTGCTTACGTATCCTTCCAATAATAATAAAGAGAGTAAAATAATAAATGTAATGAAAATAATAGAGCAAAATGATGTAAATGTAATAATAACAGTAATAATAGATTAAAATAATAAATGTAATAACAATAATTAATATAATAAATGTAATAATAATAGAGTAAAATAATGTAAATGTAATAATAAAAATAATAATAGAGTAAAATAATAAATGTAATAGCAACAATAATAAATAGAGAATAATAATAGAGTAAAATAATAAATTTAACGATACTAATAAATTAGTCACAGAGATTAAGATCCTCCTAGGAGGTCCTGCTCTCTCTCCGTCCCGCCATTGCCACAGGCGCGATTGGTGAGGATGAGAGAGAGGGCCTTCTCGGTGATTGCCCCCTGGCTATGGAACTCCCTTCCTGGTGAGATCACATCGGACCCCTCCCTCCTGTCAGAAGGATGGTAAAAACTTAGCTGTGTGACCAAGCTTTTGGGACAGGGCAATAAAGCAGTGATAGGAAACTTTGTCAGGCCAATTAGATTTGACGCAGATTACCAAGACAGTTTTAAACTGTATTTTAATATTGAGATAAATGTTTTTAATATTTATGAATTCTTGTCCCGGCATTGAATGTTTGCCATATATATGCTGTGCTCCACCCGGAGCCCCCTTCGGGGTGAGAAGGGTGGAATATAAATGTTTTAAATAAATACATAAATAGATTAAATAATAAATGTAATAATAATAAATAGAGTAAAATAACAAATGTAATAATAATACCAGAGTAAAATAATAAATAATTTGACTGGAGTATTTATTTATTTATTTATTTACTGCGCTTATATACAGCAATTCTCAGCCCAAGGGCTGAAAAACTCAGTTTATACTTGAGTATACAAGGTATTCTGTATTGCCTATAGTACCTAGCTCTATTATTCTGCAGTGTGAATGGGTCCCAATCCATATAGTCTAAGCTTTTCTCTATGGTGGCCTTTGAAAATTTGTATGTATGGGTTATTCATGTGCACAAGGAGGAGCTTTTGAAAAGTGTTGTATGCAAAGAAATGTCTTTATTCAGTTCATGATAATTATTTTTGTGCTATTTAGTAAAATAATGTGTCATTTACCTTTCAGTAAAGCCTGGTGTGCGGTATAGAGAGCTGGGAAATATTATACAGAAGCATGCTCAAGCCAATGGATTTTCAGTAGTTCGAAGCTATTGTGGGCATGGGATTCATAAGCTTTTCCACACAGCTCCCAATGTGCCTCATTATGCCAGTAAGTACAGGCAGTGATGTTTGTCAGGTTGTTGCTGGCAACCAGTAAACAATCTGTTTCATGTGTTTCTCTAAACTAGAATGCCCCCTTAAACTAGAGGACCCCCTTATCTATGAATGTAATATTGACAGTTTCACTTACTGCACTCCAAAAAATATTTTTGCCAATTTCCATCAAGAACCCCCTTTGACAAGCATTTAAGACAAAGTGTTGTTGACGGAGTTTTCAGCTGGTTGGGTGAGCTGTTCCTTTTGTTGTTTCGGTATTTTAAATATATTTGTTTCTATGTGAAGTTACTTCTTCATTCCCTTTATAATATTTTCCTTTTTTTCCAGAAAATAAGGCTGTTGGGGTGATGAAGCCTGGTCATGTGTTTACAATAGAACCAATGATCTGTGAAGGTAAATATGGCTTTAAGAAATTCTTGATTATTGCTGCAGCCATTTGTCAAAACGTATTTGACCGACTTCCTCTTAGGAAATATTATATGGTGCATGTTTCCTAGTAGATCACACACATATCTTCTAATAGACTAAATTGGTGTATTTGTTACCAAGCAAAATACTGGTAATTATACAGCCCAATAAAAAAACCTTGTTGTCTTAGTTTTTAGGCCTGTTCCTGGGATTATTCGGGGTTTTGATACAGAAAAATGCATTGGATAGACTACTTCAGCTTTAGTTTCTTAAATATGGGTATCGTGATTTTCTGTGGACATGCAGATGAAACTGATATAGCATATGTTTTGTATCTCAAAAAATTGAGATGATAGGGGAAAATCGATGCCATTTTTGAAACCAGTAGTTAAATATACCCAGAAACAGGTCTAACATTTGAGACACCAAAGTGTGTCTTAGTCAGTGTTATTATTAATAGTCTTTGTTGCTTTTATAGGGTTTTATAGTGTTTTAAAGTTGTTTATTAGTGTTTATATTCTTGTGCTATTTTGCTTTTATGTGATTACTTTGTGTATATCATTTATTATATCCGTTTGTTTGGGTGTAAGCTGCCCGAGTCCCTCTGGGGAGATGGGGTAGGGTATAAATAAAGATTATTATTATTATTTATAAGATTACACAGCAAACAAGATCACTCTGCTGGCTGTTGCATTGGATCACACGTCGGACACTTCCCAAGTGTCTAGGACTATGTGATGTATTGACGAATAATGCGTGCAGATCCGAGTAGGGTGTCCTTTTGCAACTGACAGATGGTAATTTTGTCAGCACCAATTGTTTTTAAGTGCAGGCCAAGGTCTTTAGGCACTGCACCCAGTCTGCCAATCACCACTGGGATCAACTTTACTGCCTTGTGCCAGAGTTTTTGCAGTTCTATCTTTAAATCCTCATATCGTGTAAGCTTTTCCTATTGCTTCTTGTCAATTCTGCTGTCTCCTAGGATTGCAACATCGATGATCCCATTTATTATTATTATTATTATTTATTTGTAATATGATCTTAAAATAAATAATAATAAACTTTATTTATATGCTGCCACCATTTCTTTTGAGTGCATACAAAGCACTCAAAGATGCAAACACACTGAATACAAAAATTCCAGAAACAATAACTTAAAACAATAACAGCCAACATAAATATCTAACTTCACAAAACCCCTTGGTTAAAATCAGTAAAATACAGCAATAGATGCAGGTATAAAACAACAATAATCAATCTCAGTCATGTAAAGTGCTTGGTGAAGCAAGCTTGGTGAAGATTAGCTTGCTTGCATTATGTTTTATTCATCTGGGCGAAATTATTATGTCCACAAACTGTGTCAATTAAGTGCACTGGCAAAATATTTGGAAGCAGAAATTGCCAAGGAATCAGATACAGGTTTTGTTCTGTTTTGTTTTGATCAAAGGGTTGCATGGCAGAGAGCAGAGAAGTAGATTGTCAAAATGAATTTGGGGGTATGGCAGCACAAAGGAATACACTAATATATGTAAAACATCCATATATGGTCTCTTTTAGTCTTAGAGCTGAAACATGCTTATTAAATCTAATTCAGGGAGAAGGGGCAAACTGTATTCAGTACATGGTCAAAGAAAGAGAGGGGAAACCTTGTAGATCAACCTCATGTTGTGTTGACCCCCAATCATAAAATTATTTTCATTGCTACATTATAATTGTAATTTTGCTACTGTTATGAATGGAAATGTCAATGTCAGATATGCGGGATATATTTTTATTCACTGGACCAAATTTGGCACAAATACCTGATGCGCCCAAAGTTGAATAGTGGTGGGGTTGATTGATTTTGTCATTTGGGAGTTGTAGTTGGTGGGATTTATAGTTAACCTACAATCAGAGCATTCTGAACTCCACCAGTGATAGAATTGAGCCAAACTTGGCACACAGAACTCCTGTGACCAAGAGAAAATACTAGAAAGGTTTGGTGGGGATTGACCTTGAGTTTTGGAGTTGTAGTTCACCTACATGCAAAGAGCACTGTGGACTCAAACAATGATAGATCTGGACCAAACTTGGCACGAGTCCTCAATATGCCCAAATGTGAACATAGGTGGAGTTTGGGAGAAAATTGACCTTGGGATTTGGGAGCTGTAGTTGCTGGGATTTATAGTTCACCTACAATCAAAAAGCATTTTGAACTCCACCAACGATGGAATTGAACCAAACTTGACACACAGAACCACCATGCCTTGCAGGGACTCTCTGGTGCGTGTCTCCTTCCAGACTCACATGCTCTCCTTTTCCTTCACATGTGCACCATGCTGCCATGCCATGCCTGCTCTCCCCTCCCCACTTGGAGTCTCAGAAACAGTCCTCCCCTTAGCTGAGAGGCTGGTCAATCATAGTGGAGGAGGGCTTTTGGTGGGAGGATTTGCCATCTGTTTTCAACAAGGAAGAGAAAGACAGGTGGAGAGATCTTCAGCCTTCTCTGCCAAAGGGGTTCCCATCAGAAATGTATGTTTTCTGATGGTCTTTGGTGATCCCTCTGAAACCCCCTCGCGACTCCCCCCAGGGGTTCCCGACCCCAAGGTTGAGAAACACTGTTGTAGATCAAAAGTTAAAATGCTGTCTTCCTTTTTTAAAAGTGTGAAATGACTTTCTTTCTTTTGGGAAAAAAAGTTTCAGTATTTTGCATTGTTTTCTTAAGGTGGCTGGCAAGATGAAACCTGGCCGGATGGTTGGACGGCAGTGACACGAGATGGGAAGCGGTCCGCCCAGTTTGAACACACGCTTCTGGTCACAGATACTGGGTGTGATATCTTAACCCGGCGGTTGGATAGCATTCGCCCTCACTTCATGACCCAGTGCTAATGAAGGCCAAACTGGGAGGTCTGAACCAAGCATCTCTTGACTCTGTACGGTTCATTTAAGTAAAGTACAGGCTAAAGGGAGATTTTATCACCTGTTTTCTTCTTGTTGACTCTAGGTAAGACAGATGCAACCTTGCATTATTTGGCTTGGAATAGCCTGATACAGTGGATTCAAAATGGAGGTTTTGGAGCATTTTCCCCGCTCTCCTGTGCCCCAACAGTTTCAATATTTTTTCCAAGTCCTTTGTCCTTATAACACCCTTTTATTTCCAGCTTTCCTACAGCTGAACTTCAGGTGGTCCTGTCATTGCCATAGCTATCAAATGGCAAATACGAGACAACTTGGTCCAGATGGATGCAAGGTTTTGGAAAAAGAGCCTTTCTGCTTTTCTATGCGTCACCTGAGTTTTTAAACTTTTCTTGTTGAGAAAGGCAAGTCCTGCATAGTGTTGCTGTAAAGGCAGTTTTAAATGGGCCAGGCTCTCACCTGTTTTCTAATTCAGAGGTAGAAATGTGTACCAGAAAGTGTTTGCTTTCAGATTTCCTCTCTTCCAATCTGGTTGCTTCTATTGTAACTGTGTATGGAAGAATAATAACCACTTCTTAACAAGATGGGGCCATTTTCCTTTCGGCTGTTAATTTGGACTGATGATTTTGTGCCCGTTGTAAAGAGGGGGAGATCACTGAGATTCTGCCTTGTTCAAGCTTTTACCAAAACGCAGCCTCAGTAGGTAGTGCTTGACAGTCAATTATGTTCAAGAAGTTCACTTGTAGAAACTCTGCTTTGAAATTGAAATTCAGAACAACTTGAAATATTTGGAGTTTCTTTTCTCCTGCAGGTATGTCCTAATGAAGGGCATATTAAGGCATTCCACTACCAATACACAGCCAAGTGCTTAGATCACCACTTCATTACAAATCCTTTCAGTCCAAAGATAAAAGGCACTCTTGAGCCAATTTTGAGCTTTGTTTCCCCTCTCCAGTTTGTGGTGACTTTGTGCGTATCAGCAGGGTTAAGTGGCTGCCTATCATGAATACCACTTTAATGAGATTTCACCATGGCACAACAAATTACATTGTTGAATTTGTGGCATACAACCATCCAATATGTGGCTGTGTACTTAGATGGCCACTTCATTACAGATCCTTTTGATCCATAACGACACGAAATCACAAAGGACTGGAGAAAGTTACACCAGTGTGAGCATGAGAATAGTAAAAACAAAATAATGCTGCAAGTTTCAAATTCTTGTCTTATCATGGAACTGCTCCCCTTTCTGAAAAATCCTGTTCCCATCCCCCCTGTGTGTAAGCGAGAAGAAAACCATCCAAGCTAACCACCATGATTTCTCATCAGAAACAGATTGGTTTGAGTAATGATAATTCACTTGAAAGATGGAAGAAATTGGCAATCCTTCCCAAAAGGTCCTTGGACCAGCTGCAGCACACGTAATAGAGATACCATTCAAGACATACACTTGTCTCAGCAAGTCCAGGTCTGGAAGATCATGCTCCTGATGACATTGAGGGAAGATTGGCCAGATTGATATATTGAAGTTGGGCAGAGTCTAGTGCTGTAGGGGCTGCAAGTGCTTCCCATTCTCATCTCAAGAAGTTGACAGCCCCCTAGTTTTTTTTTAATTTTAGGTTGGGTAGAGAAGTTCACTTCTCTCTTTTCTTTAGTCCTTTTGACCTGTTCTATCTTGGGCAGGGGGGGATTTTTTTCCATTCCAAAGAGGTACTCTGCCTGGGATGTCCAGGCCTAAAACTTGTTGGATGGCCCTTGAAATTTTCCCTTAGACCAGTGGTTCTCAACCTGTGGGTCCCAGGTGTTTTGGCTTACAACTCACAAAAATCCCAGTTTACCAGCTGTTAGGATTTCTGGGAGTTGAAGGTGAAAACATATGGGGACCACCATGTTGAGAACCACTGCCTTAGACAATTTCATATTCAAAACATTACACTTGTGCACTCAAAGGAACCGAGTGGCACATGGGATGCAGTTTGCCCGTCGCTATTTTTTATGGGATTGCATTTAAAAAAAGATTATTTTTTTTCAACCTAATTTTCTAATCTGGTTCTTCCTCACGTTGGAGGGAAGAACTGGCACACCGATGAAGACAAGTCAGGTCATAAAACCCTGGGCTTGATAACTACTTCTGCTTCGCTCCTGGTATCTTATCGGCTACAGAAAAATTGCAAGGAGCTTCAAGGCTCTCTACTCCCACAATTCCAGTAACATATGACTTCGACAGTTCTTTGGAGCGATAGGGCAGTTAAACAGAAACATTGAAAAGAAAATGTCTCTTTCCCCGAGTGCCTCAGAACTTTTTAAATTTGTTTTTGCTTTGAGGGTTTCTTTCTTTCTTGGCTGAAACTGTACTGTTGGATAACATTTTCATTCTGTAATGTGTTTCGAAGCAGTAAATGGATCCACAGTGTGACAAACACTTGTGTACATGGGCAGAAGGTTTTTTTTTTTTTTAAACAAACATCCTGCAATGTCTGAGTGGAGTTAACCTATGTATGCAATGCATTAAGGGATTAAAAGTCTGGAATGGTTAACCTAGCCTCTTCTGTAAGGCCAGTTACTTTGAAGCACTAGGCATTTGGCTTGCTATGAGTTTTCCACAATGTATGGCCATGTTCCATAAGTATTCTCTCCTGGTGTTTCACCCACATCTATGGCAGCCACCCTCAGAGGCTGTGAGGTATATTGGAAACTAGGTATGGAAGGTCCAGTGTGGGAGAAATAACTCTTTGTCACTACCTCTGAGGATGCTTGCCATAGATGCAGGCAAAACGTCAGAAGAGAATGTCTCTAGAACATGGCCATATAGCCCGAAAAAACCTACAACAACCCAGTGATTCCAGCCATGAAAGCCTTCGACAACTCTTTGATTGTTAGAGGCATGTGTGAATGTTGCAGTTAATCAGCTTGATCACCACTGAAAAGCCTTGCAGCTGATTCCGGCCTGGGGGGAATCCTATGTTGGGAGGTGATTAGCTGGTCCCGATTGTTTCTTGTCTGGAACTCCCTTGTTTTCAGAGTGTTGTTCTTTATTTACTGTCCTGATTTTAGATTTTGTTTAATGCTGGTAGCCTCTGCCAATATTAAAAATCTCTTTAAAATCTCTTTAAAAACCTCTAAAATCAGGACAGTAAAGTAAACCAAATGTATCACAGATTGAAGTAGACTCTATTCTACAAAAGCTTATGCTACCAATTCCTGGCATTGGAGAAAATACACTGCTCATGGCTGCCAATCTTCCTTCAACAATAATCATAACAAATCCGTTCTCTTTTCTTGGCATTGATTGTAACAATACAAGTAAAAGTGCACTGTGTCCATGTAATGGACTTTTATGCTCATATGTGGTGCACCATAGAATATAGCCGTAACTCTATTGCAATACAGTACAAAGCAGTTCAAAATTGGAAAAGGAGTACGGCAGGGCTGTATATTCTCACCCTACCTATTCAACTTGTATGCAAAACACATCATGTGACGTGCGTGACTTGATGAATCCAAGGCTGAAGTTAAAATTGCTGGACAAAATATTAACAACCTTAGATATGCAGATGATACCACTTCGATGGCTGAAAACGAGGAGGAGCTGAGGAGCCTTCTAACCAAGGTGAAAGAAGAAAGTGCAAAAGCAGGGTTGCAGTTGAACAACAACAACAACAAAACAAGATTACGGCAATCAGACTGGTTTATAACTGGCAAATAGAGGGAGAAAACGTGGATGCAGTGACAGACATCACACTGGCAAAGATCCACATAGTTAAATAAATGATATTCCCCATAGTAACCTATGGATGTGAGAGCTAGACCATAAGGAATGCTGAATGAAGGAGGATAGATCTTTTCACGATCCAAGGCACTCTTTAAAAATTTTCCTCCATCACCACAGTTCCAAAATGTCTAACTAGTCCATGCTTCAGGAAATAATGGCTGACTGCTCACTGGAGGGAAGGATATTAGAGGTAAAGCTGAAGTACTTTGGCCACATAATGAGAAGACAGGAAAGCTTGGAGAAGAAAATAACGATGGGGGGAAAGGATGGAAAAATGAAGAGGGGCCGACCAAGGGCAAGATGGATGGATGGTATCCTTGAAGGGACTGGCTGGACTTTGAAGGAGCTGGGAGTGGCCACGGCTGAGAGGGAACTCTGGTGTGGGCTGGTCCATGAGGTCACAAAGAGTCAGAAGTTACTGAGCGAATAAACAACAAAGAGTTACTCTTGTAATCCAGGTGTGATCTAATCTCCCTTATCTAAAAACTCTGACACTTGTCTTGAGCCAATGACCTGCAGCATTTTATGTCAAATGTGACATGTTTTGGCATACAACTTCTATCTGCCTTATCAGCAAACACGGTGAAGTTTTGTGGGATGTATAGTGTGCTGCTTCCTACTGTTTTATTTTATACTGTATTCAGTAGTAAATCCGTCAAGATAGGTAAGAACCGCACACTACATCTGTGCAATGCATACAATATGATTTCAATAAAAGGAAGGAAGATCACAATTCTGCAACTACATAGGAAAGTGATGCTTTAATCATGATTCTCTCTGAAAGACAACTTTTTTCATTGCAAAATCTTCTAGAAGAAAAGGTAACACCATTGATTTTAAGTGGGTTCAATGTACAGTTACGTTGCTAGTCCTTGGGGACAGCAGTAAGATAGGAAATAGTAAGATACTTGATCCATTCAAAATCAGTCGCTGGTACTAGTACTACCATTCCAATATGGAGATCAGTATTTTTTTAAATCTACATTGTCAGAGTAGGTCTAATTCAATTTGAACAAGCGTTTCCTCATGTTTCCTAAAGTAAGGCATATTGGGTAACTGTAATGTTTTACTCCTGCAGTAAAAAGAGTTCCTTCTTCCAGCTTCTTAAAACTTTAGAACAGTTCGGATGCTAGAAATAGAAAGAAAAATATTGTAAGTTTAATTTGCCCTGTAAAAATTACTTCAGTCTTTTTAAAGAAATAAGTCTGGTATCACAAAGATTAAAATACTGCATAGATTAAAGCAGTGTTTCTCAAACTGAGCTCCCCCTGGTGTTTTGGACTTCAACTCCCAGAAATCCCAGTCAGTTTATCAGGTGTTATGAATTGTGGGAGCTGAAGTCCAAAACACCTGGGGGAGCACAGTTTGAGAAACTCTGGATTAAAGGAAAACCAGAGTTCAAATGAAGAGCTAGTGTAGTGGTTTAAGCACTGGGATTACAAGTCTGGAGACCAGGGTTCAAATTCTCACTTGGCCATGGAAACCCACTTGACGACCTTGGCCAAGTCAGCCTCACAGGAAGGAAGTGACACTGTTTCTAAGCAAATCTCACCAAGAAAGCCCTATGATAGTGCTGCCTTAGGATCACAATAGTTTGGAACTTGAAGACAAACAACAACAAAGAATTCCGATTTCCACTTGGTCTGGACGGACCTGAAGGTCATCAATCAACCATTAAGAGAAATTAAACAAATGCTTGGATTCTATTGAGCAAAGATAGGATAAAAAAGAGTTTTCAAAATACCCTAATTAATTATTTCAATACACTGTATCTATTTTGCCCTCCCAATGATGATTAAGCCTGCAAGACATATTCAATATGAAGGCAGTGAAAGGGCCACAAGAAACAACTGCATATGCAATCTGATCCTCCAGCTGTTTTGGGCTTCAACTCTTTAGAAGCCTCTGTTCCACTGGCTTAAACCCACCATCGCTAGCACTAGACATACCAAATGAGGACTCTCAGTTCAGCTACAACCCTACTCTTAGTTGAATGCAAGTCCGATCAAATCAAGGGGGATTAGGGATGTGTAGATGCATGCAGGATTGAATAATTGACATTTATAGACAAGCAGCAGGAAGACACCCACCTCTTTCCAGCATGCATGAGTTCAAAGGCCTCATTGATTTTCTCAAAAGATAAGTTCTGAGTCACAAATTCATCCACTTTCATCTTTTTGGACATGTATTCTGCTACCAATTTTGGAACGCTTTCTACACTCTTCCAACCTGGTAAGAAATTACAATGTTTGTTTTCTGTTGCAGTATCATAAAATAATATAACACCATGTAACACATTTTTTGTTCTTGGGTTATAAACATCATTTCCTAATTGGTTCTATCATAAAAACATGGAAAAAGGGTTTGTTTTTGCGGGACATCTACAGCACCTTTTGCTATAGTTTTTCAATAAATATCCCATCGAGTTTCAACCAATTCAACATAGTTTGTGGCAGCCACAAAAACGAAGTTTCTGGAGTATAACAACTACTTCCAAAGTAAGTACTGCTAAATTAAACAGGAAATTATACTTTCAAACCAGGAACAATTTCTTTCCAAATTTTGTTACAGATTGTAATTTACAATACCGGATTTCTTCAATTGTGAGATGCGCTCTAATTTCAGTCCCCCCACCGCCAACAAAAATACATAAGATACACCTGAGATTTTAAGCTGCGCCACATTTCTAGAGATGTTTATATAGTAAAAAGTGCTTTTTAGAACTAAAGAAATACAGGAGCATGAAATAATAGTGACACGTAACAAAATGAAATTATATAAATGTGGCTTTTATAGCAGGATTTCAAGAGTTCAGTAGTCACAAACATGCAAAGAAATTTACTATCACTGCAAAATGGAAAGAAAACAAAAGATGGTCTTACTGGGGGCAAAGAGTGGCAGGTACTGCTAGTTTTCTGTGTTGAAACAGAAGCCATTACCTGCCCCCCACCCCAAAGTTTGGCCCATTTAGGACATGTTAGTAGCTGGATAAACGTATACCTCCAAAGGCAGTCCCTTTCCATGTTCGGCCAGTGACCAGCTGGAACGGGCGGGTGGCAATTTCTTGACCAGCAGCTGCAACCCCAACAATCACACTGACTCCCCAACCTTTGTGACAAGCTTCTAAGGCAGCTCTCTGTAAGACATAGAGGTGGGAGGATGCACAAATTAATTTAACAAAGACAAACTGGAGGGCAGAGGGAGAAGATAATAAGATTAGTGGCATAGTATATGGCAAAAGATCCTATGTTGGATCTCTGGTGTCTCCCATTAAAAGAGCCAGAGTGCAAGTAATAGAAAAGAGTGCTTGGCAGTCAAAACAGTACAATATTAAATTAGGTGAATCAACATTCAGGCTTTGTACAAGGCAGCATTCTCTATTTACTGCATTTATATACCGCTTTTCTCACCTGTGACTGGACCCAAAGCGGTTTCCAACATAATGTCTGCGTATTTTTTTGTTCTTTTTATCACTTTTGGGCTACTGGTGCTGGGTCACGCTGCTGCTAATAAGTTACTCTGCTGTGCATTTATGAGGAGGGTCTTTTTTTAATAATCCCACTCGCCCAACAGGTTTACTCCCATCATTTCAGATGGAGGCATACTTTCTCTCTGGAGCTGGGCCTTGCTTATAGTCCATCTTGCTTCATTATCATCTACAGCCAATGGAAATGCAATGAAGCCCAAACATTTTTTTATTGCACTTTTATCCAGAGAAGGCCAGAGCCAAAGATCTTGTCCAGAATTAGAGAAGACCTCCCATTCTTCAGGTTCTATTTCATAAAAGTCCTGCAACACAGGCCCTCACAACTACAATAGACCGATGTACAAGCCACACTCACCATGACATGAACATTACCAATGCATTCAAATGAGTAATCTACTCCTCCATCTGTCATCTCAACCAGGACTTCTTGAATAGGCTTCTTGGAGTCCTCAGGGCTGATGCATTCTGTAGCTCCGAATTCCTTTGCTTTTGAAAACTTGTCTTTGTTGAGATCAATCCCAATGATCCTGGAGGCACCTGCCACTTTGCAGCCCATTATGACAGCAAGCCCAACACCACCCAAGCCAAAGACGGCACAAGTAGAGCCTGGTTCCACCTAAAAACAAAAATGACTATTTGACTGAAGGAATAAGGAAAAAGAGCAATACTTAAGGCTAACAAAATAACACCACAGAATAATAATAATAATAATAATAATAATAATGGTGGTCCCAGTGGTGATCGGCACACTGGGTGCAGTGCCTAAAAACACAATTGGCGCTGACAAAATTACAATCTGCCAGCTACAGTTTAATGCCTGGTAAACTGGCTGGGATTTCTGGGAGCTGTAGGCCAAAAACACCTGGGGACCCCAGGCTGAGAACCACTGGTATGAGGAGATGCAGTCAGATAGGTAAGTAAGACCTGAACCATTTAGGGTAGCAAAGTGAAAGAAAACTCACCTGGAAGCTCAGTGGCTTACCTTGGCAGTGTTCAAGGCTGCTCCATATCCTGTAGAAACTCCACATCCCAGCAGGCAGACTTTATCCAAGGGAGCTGAAGCATCAATTTTAGCCAGGGAGATGTCAGCAACAACCGTGTACTCTGAGAAAGTGCTTGTCCCCATGAAGTGTAGAACTTGCTTCCCTTTGCACATGAAGCGAGTAGTGCCATCCGGCATCACTCCTTTTCCTTGGGTGACTCTTCAGAGAGAAGGAAAACAAGTTATTTACATATTATGTAAAGTTACAGTCACAGAAAAGTTTTAAGACAGAATTCCCAGGGCAAGAAAATTTCTCAAACTCTGACCCTTGTAGTGTTACTAATAAAAAGTAACACCTGTACAACTATGTTTTTTTTTTTCCTGGGAGACATTTCTGGTGGGAGAAATTGAAGCCGCATTGGAAAAACATGCAGAAGGTTACAAATGGTCAAACTTTACTTGCATCTTGAGTTTGGAATGTAGAATAGTAGATTTGAATGTTTCCATATGGGGAAGAAGGCAAAAGATAATCACAAATAGAAAAGCAGCAGCAAGCAGCTACCAGAGTTACTGCTGATAATAGATTTCATTATTATAATTATAAGTGATCACTCGTGGCTGAATATGATTGTCTTCCAAGATTAGAGCCTTAGCAGGGTGTCTCTAAGCGACTGTAGAGACATTTTCTGGATCCGCATGGTCTTTTGCAGTGGTACACACGTTTTCAGATGGAAGGTGACAAGAGTTTGTTCGAAACACCTTCCTTTTGGCACATTTCTCCCTTTCGCATTCTATTTGTGCCTCTTCAAAATACAAAGCACTGTTGGGAATAGCTGATCTCCAGTTAGAACACTCTAGGGCTGCATTTCTCAACCTGGAGGTTGAGAGGGGGTTTCAGAGGGGTCGCCAAAACATATATTTCTGATGGTCTTAGGAACGTCTTTGGCAGAGAAGGCTGAAGATCTCTCCGTCTGTCCTGCTCTCCCTTTTTGGAAACAGAAGGTGAATCCGCCCCCCAAAAGCCCTCCTCCACTGTGATTGGCCGGCCTCTCAGCAAAGGGAGAGCTGTTTCTGAGACTCCAAGTGTGGAGGGGAGAACAGACGTGCTCAGCACATGGCAGCATGGTGCACAGGCGAGAGAAAGCATGTGAGGCTTTAGGTAGGCTTGTGCCAGCGAGTCTCTTCAAAGCATGGGAGTTCTGACATTGGCCCAATTCTATCATTGGTGGGGTTCAGAATGCTCTTTGATTGTAGGTCAGCTATAAATCCCAGCAACTACAACTCCTAAATGTCAAGGTCTATTTTCCGCAAACTCCACCAGTGTTCACATTTGGGCATATTGAGTTTTCATGCCAAGTTTGGTCCTCATCCATCATTGTTTGAATACACAATACTATCTGGATATAGGTGAACTCCAACTCCAAAACTCAAGGTCAATGCCCACCAAACCCTCCCAGTATTTTCTGTTGGTCATGTGAGTTCTGTGTGTCAAGTTTGATTCAGAATGCTCTTTGATTTTAGGTGAACTATAAATCCCAGCAACTACAACTCCCAAATGACAAAATCAATTCCAACCCCACCAGTATTCAGATTTGGGCGTATTGGTGCCAAATTTGGTCCAGTGAATGAAAATACATCCTGCACACCAGATATTTACATTCGATTCATAACAGTAGCAAAATTACAGTTATGAAGAAGCAACAAAAATAATGTTATGGCTGGGGGTCACCACAACATGAGAAACTGTATTAAGGGGCTGCGGCATTAGGAAGGTTGAGAAACACTGCTCTAGGGTCAGGGCTTCCCAGTTCTTGGTGTTTATGCTTCATTTGTTAAGGTTTACTTTAAGCCCATCTTTTACCATTTTTGAGCTGAGAGTGAAGTAAGTGCTTTGGGAGATGGTGATCAGGTATTTGGACAATGCGGCCAGTCCAGAGAAGTTGATGGTGGAGGATCATCCTTTCAATTTTGGTGGTCTTTGCTTCTTCCAGAACGCTGACATTGCCTATCCTCCCAAGAGATTTGCAGCGGAGAGTGACATCTGTAGATGGTCTGTGTTTCACAGGCATATAATAGAAGGTGACAATCCAGCAAGGGGGTGTAGTACAACATACTTGGAAAGAAATCAAATTGGAAAAGAGTAGCCTTTCTGCAATATCTAAAGAACTCAAGGACAAATGATTCTGGACAATTAGCGCCCGTGATTAGTGTGTCCCACTAGCTGTCTCTAACACCGACATATTGTATTCACAAACAATCCTTGCTTTGTACCACAAGAGAGAGAGAAAGACAGGATGAGCAACACAAGAGAAGAGCACCAACCTTATTTTCTGGCAGAGATTGGTTTTAGGATTTAAACAAAACTTGCATTCTCCACACTGAGGGATATACAGAGGGATAACGGTGTCTCCTGAAAAATATAAACAGTTGACTTGGTTTTACAACTAACGGACCAAAGGGATATTTAACTAGATATTGCATAACAATGTGGAATGCTAACAAAGTGATGAAATGGCCTGCCTGTGCCTCCTCATAATCTATCATGGCAGTTACAAATTCAGGGCAAATTAAACACTATAAATTTAAAATTACCAAACTATGAACAGTTGAGCATCTTTAACAGTTGTGCGAATATGGAACGGCCCTTACAAACTATATGCAATTACAACTCTATAATTTCACTTTGTCATGGCAACATCCTTGCAGTTTAGAAAGAGACATTTAGAAATCTCAGGGAAGTAAGTTTTGCTGTTTCAACAAACTACAAAGCTTAGGAGCCTGTAGGATGTGTCCATAACTAGAGTAGAATCGTTGTGCTATCATTGTGTTGTGTGGAAGGGCCCTCTTTTTCCAACGTATTTAAAAATCTCTTGAGTACAGCCTTACTCAGAGATTTTTAAATAGGCTGGAAAAAGAACTGTTTTATTTACAATTTCCTGTATTAGTATAAGGTTCGAATAGATTACCCTTTGGATTCCTTCTAACCTTCCAGAAGCAACAAAGAATCCAACAGCACCTTCAAGACTAACACTATATGACAATCATTCTGGAAACAGTAACAGTGTACTGAATGTATTTATTACCTGCTTTAAATTTAGTCACTCCTTCCCCAACGCTCTCTACAATGCCGGCTCCTTCATGGCCCAGGATGACAGGGAAACTTCCTTCTGGATCGGCACCACTCAGAGTATAGGCATCAGTATGGCACACAGCAGTGGCAATGATCTAGGAAATCACGGAAAACAAGTTGAACAGACAATTCAACAGGCTTGATATTTTCAAGACTTCAGAGCTGTTGGAGATCTTAGTTCAAGATCTTCATCACTACAATATCTCTGGTTCAAATTACACCTCAGCTCCAAGTTTATTTATTTATTTATTTATTTACTCCATTTGTATACCGCATTTATCAGCCTGGAGCGGCGACTCAATGCGGTTTACAGTAAAAATAAACAGTGAACAATAAATAAGACGCACATCGACAAACAATACACATAATCATCAACGCCTACTTAGAATCAGATCCCGTTCTCATAGTCCTTAATTCAATCCTTGTTCAATGCCGTCATTATTGGGTGGTTGTTACTGCATAGCTAACCGAATGCCTGCTCATAGAGCCACGTCTTAACCCTCCTTCGAAACACCAGCAACGAAGGGGCCTGCCTGATGTCCACTGGTAACGCATTCCATAGCCGAGGGGCCACTACCGAGAAGGCCCTGTCAGTTGTCCTCCTTTCTCTCTCCTAGAGACCCAACAAGGAGTAACTGAGTAATACAACAGTGGCCCTCTCTCCAACATAGAGGGATGGATACTCAGCCTCTATGATCTTTCATATTACACTTCATCTTGTTGGGATCCAACCCCACATTGCTCAAGTCTCTAGCCCTGAATGAGGAACAAGTTAGTAAGCTTAGAATAGGGCAAAGATTTCCCTTTCCCAAAGTCTCGTGTATGACAGTATTTCTTTTCTCTTCTCTCTGTTTCTGCTCTAACTTTCCTATTGCAAGCCTTTACTTCTGACCTCTACTTTTGCATCTGAGTGTGTGCTGTGTGTTTTGAGATCTCTCTCTGCTTGTGCGTCAGATTTTTCCCCTCTCTTTTGAACCCTAAAGAGATGGAGTTAGAGTAGCTAGGACCCAGTTATTTACTATTAAGAAATGTACTTATTATTTTTGGATGTAAATAAACTTTTTGTAATCTTAAAGACTGAACGCTGGATATTTGCCTCCTAAGATCTTAATTCTTTACAGCCACATGACACTTCACACTCTGCTTGCTGTGAACTGAATGCTCAACTATAAGCAACCTGTTTTTGTATTTTGGATGCTCTGCTGTATTTTGGGGTTGTTTCCCCCTAACTAATAAAGAAAATCCTAACACATCTTACACCTCAACACAACCACAACATAAAGACACAGTTAACCATAAGGCATTACAGGAATAATGTATACATGAATATAAATAATTATAAATTGCTATAATATGTTTTAAAGCAGTTATAGGCAAACCCAGGCACGGGAGATGGATGTGGCCCCTTGGGCTCTTTTCTCAGGCCCTCCTCTCTCTCACCATCCTATCCTTTCTTCCTTCTCTCTTTCCTTCCTCCTTCCATCCTTCCCTTCCTTCCTTAATGATTTACGTTACAATTGTTTTTAATTGCCCTATACTTGTCTCGTGATGTTTTGTATGATGTTGTTCACCGCTTTGAGTTGCCTGAGGGCTGAGAAAAGCGGTATATAAATAAAGTAAATAAATAAATAAATAATCTCCCTCTTTCTCCTTTCCTTCTTTCTTCCTTCTTTCCCTTCCTTCCTTTCTGTCTTTTCTTCCTTCTCTCTTTCCTCCCTCCCTCCATTCCCTTCCACCCTTCCTTCCTTTTTTCTCTTTTCTCTTCCTCCTTTCCTCCTGGGGGATGTTTAGCTGGGAGAAGAGAAGGTAGAGAGGGAACATGAGAACCATATTTCCAGACGTAAAAGGGTGTCCCATTGAGGAGGAGGAGGAGGACAACTGACTTTCTGTTGCTCTAGAGACCAGGGAACAAGGGAGCAATTGGTTTAAACGGCACAGAAATAGATTTAACTGAAAAGATTAGGAAAAACTTCCTGGAGAGTGGCATAGGTGGCACTGGAGTGTGGTGAAGTCTTTTCCACAGAGGCTGTCTATTGGGAGTGCTTTGACTGTGCCTCCCTGTATGGCAAGGGATTGGACTGGATGGCCCTTGGAGGTCTCTTCCAACTCCAAGATTGTAGAATTTTATATCGGGAGTAGGCAATACAGGGTCTCACCATCAACCCCCTCCCTCCCAGCCCGCCCACCCCACTCCAGCCCACCATGCGGCCTCCAAAGTTAGAAAGTTTGCCCATGCCTGTTTTAAAGTATGAACTAGTGAAAAAAACACTTCTAGTGGTTTTTGGATAGCTACAGCCGATTCCCCCCTTCAGCTCCACATACTTTATAAATATTCTAGGTTTCATTTTGTCTCTTGAAAAATATCAACATGTACAGCCAAATAAAAGAAGCACTGTTTAATTACCCTGACGCGGACTTCATGAGCTTTTGGTGGTGCAACTTCGACCTCCTCAATGGACAGAGGCTTGCCAGCTTCCCAGGCAACAGCTGCCTTGCATTTGATAACCTAAAGACATTTTGAAAAAGAGAATTGTGTTATTTCATTATTTCGTCGGGGGGACGGGGGATGCTCAACTTTGTGGCACACAACCACAGATTTTAATTGGCATAGCATAGTTATAGAAAACATTTTTCCTCAAAAAAATATTAAATCATGGGAAATAATTTTTGGAAAAGGAGAATATATTATTGTGACATTTCAAGATTAGCAGGTGTTGCTAGAGAGACCTGTGCCATTTTAACCAACTCTTGGAAGATCTGTAGCCATGGTTATACTGTATTTTGCATCTTTCTGTATCTTACAATTCCACCATCACAATTATGGAATAGCTAATTGCAATTGCTGCCATGTTGCGCAGTGGGTTAAACTGCTGAGCTGCTGAACTTGCTGACCGAAATGTTGGTGGCTCAAATCCGGGGAGCAGGGTGAGCTCCTGCTATTAGCCCCAGCTTCTGCCAACTTAGACGTTCAAAAACATGCATGTGTTAGTAGATCAATAGGTACTACTTCCGCAGCAAGGTAATGGTGCTCTGTGCAGTCATTCCAGCGTTGGAGGTGTCTATGGACAACGCTGGCTCTTTGGCTTAGAAAGGGAGAAGAGCACCACCCCCCAGAGTCAGACATAACTAGACAATTTCAAGAGGAAACTTTCACCTTTACCTAATTATTATACTTTTGGCTTTATTATTGCATCTGTAAACATGGACTGAAATTCACCAAAGGCTGTGCTAAAACAAATCAGTCCTTTGTGTCTCCCTTCCAAGTTTAGTATTTAAGGCTAAAGAAAAACTACTTATGGTAATGCGGAGCCAAAAGGAAAGATTAATAGAGTACAATCTATTTTCTATTTCTAATGGAGCCAGCCTGGATAGAGAGAAATGTCACTGATGTTTAGCAGTTAAAGTACAGATAAAGACGTGCTCATCTCCATTTCTAAACTGAAGAGCTGCAGTTGTCCATAGACACCTCCTACATCATGTGACCGGCATGACTGCATGGAGCACTGTTACCTTCCCGCAGAAGCGTTACCTATTGATCTACTCACATTTACATGTTTTTTAGAACTGCTAGGTTGGCAGAAGCTGGGTCTAACAGCAGGAACTCACCCTGTTTCATGGATTCAAACTGCCAAACTTTCAGTCAGCAAGTTCTGCAGCTCAGCAGTTTAACCCACTGCACCCCTCCGTTTAGTAGTTAGTGGAATACAAACAATGGTATGTAGTTTCAGTTGTATTTAAATAGAACACAAAAGTCTGATATCATAGTGTACGTTTTCTAGTATTATACAAAAACATGAGAGGGAAAAAGGTTTTTTTTTCGTGTCAGGAGTGACTTGAGAAACTGCAAGTCGCTTCTGGTTTGAGAGAATTAGCTGTCTGCAAGGATGTTGCCCAGGGGACGTCTGGATGTTTTGATGTTTTACCATCCTTGTGGGAGGCTTCTCTCAGGTCCCCGCATTGGGAGCTGGAGCTGACAGAGGGAGCTCATCTGTGCTCCCCCCAGATTCAAACCTGCGACCTGTCGGTCTTCCATCCTGATGGCACAGGGGTTTGACCCACTGCACCAAGGGGGGGGGGGGAGGATAATTGCAGAAAAGTTCAACATGCCTGCCCACAAATTAGTTTATTACTAAACGGAACAAGGTACAACCAGGCCTGATGCCCAATAAAATATTTACTTTCTTCCATTTCTCTTACTTTTACACTGACCGGATGAATATTGAGTGAAAATATGGAGTAGATCAAAGTAAATGATTTATATATTATGCATGAAAAGTTTCGAAAATGCACTAAAAGGCCTGATTTGATAGGCGGTTTGAGTCAGAACTTGGTATATTATGTTGAATTTCTGCCATGTTGAGTTTTACAACGTGTTTACTAAAGGATGTCTTCAAGCAAGGCAGAGGTCCATAAACTTTTTCAACAAAGGGAAAGGAGACAGGGAAAATGCAAGCTGCAGAACTTGGAGAAATAGAAACAGCAAGTCTTTAAATTGTCATAGATACACTGGATATGGAAATAACTCAAAACCCACTGGAGGAATTGACACCAAATTAATTAAGCTTTTTGATTGAATGGCGATAGCACAGATATGGGCAAACTTGGGCCCTCCAGGTGTTTTGGACTTCAACTCCCACAATTCCTAACAGCCGGTAGGCTGTTAGGAATTGTGGGAGTTGAAGTCCAAAACACCTGGAGGGCCCAAGTTTGCCCAGGTCTGCTCTAGCATTTTTGCATATCTATTATTCCTGCTCTGTAGCACCATTCCCCCAGGAGAAACTCAGAAGGAAAAAGGCTATAAAGACTGCCTCTGAGCATGAGCAAAGTGCAAAACAGATCCTCCCACAAAGTAGGAGAGCAGCATGCAGGCACCTGCTGTTCTCCAACTCTCCTTCCCTTTGCAAAACAGCCTTTTGAAAAATATAATGCACAGATTATAATTCAGGGATGCAAAAGCCATGGATTTCTCCCATTCCTCCTCCTCCTCCTCCTTTTAAGGCAACCCTTCCCTATGGCTTCCTTCCCTCAACACTTCCCACCAAGCAACCCCTTCCAATGCAGCTCCTTGCAGACTTTTAAGCCCTCCAATGGGTTGCAATGCAAACACCTACCCCGCTCGCCATGGCCTTCACCAGAAAGAGCCCTTTCTTGGTCTGCCTCTTGGAAGACACCCCCCCCCTTCTGCTGCACTGCGCATGCGTCCGCTTCTGAGCGCCGCCTCCGAAGAAAGGCACCGGCTTCTGTGCCTGCATTCACTGATTTAGGGCGCGAGGGGGCGCTCTTTCCCAAGGGTTCAATTAGAATCAATTCCGCTATCTATCTTCTTCTATATAAATAAAAATGTAATGCTCGTTTGTGGGATTAACATAATTCAAAAGCCACTGGAGGGATTGACACCAAATTTGGACACAATACACCTAATAGGCCAATGGGTATTTATTTATCTATCGTGTCATCAGCAACCATACCATTGTATTTTATTTCTAACAGAACAAAACAAACAAACAGATTAAAAAACACACAAATTTTGCAAACTTGGTAGTTGATTAAATGTCCTTTGACCAGTATCTGGCCACTTGGAGTGCCTCTGGTGTTGCCGCAAGGAGGTCCTCCATTGTGCATGGCAGGGCTCAGGTTGCATTGCAGCAGGTGGTCAGTGGTTTGCTCTTCTCCACACTCGCATGTCGTGGATTCCACTTTGTAGCCCCATTTCTTAAGATTTGCTCTGCATCTCGTGGTGCCAGAGCGCAGTCTGTTCAGCGCCTTCCAAGTCGCCCAGTCTTCTGTGTGCCCAGGGGGGAGTCTCTCATCTGGTATCACCCACGGATTGAGTGCTGGGTTTTTGCCTGCCACTTTTGGACTCTCGCTTGCTGAGGTGTTCCAGCGAGTGTCTCTGTAGATCTTAGAAAACTATTTCTAGATTTAAGTCGTTGACGTGCTGGCTGATACCCAAACGGGATGAGCTGGAGATGTCTCTGCCTTGGTCCTTTCACTATTGGCTGCTACTTCCCGGCGGATGTCAGGTGGTGCAATACTGGCCTCCTCGCAGGATTGCAAGACATCCGGGCGTCCCCTGGGCAATGTCTTCGTAGACAGCTGATTCTCTCGTCTCAGAAGCAACCAGGCCAATGAGTGACCATCACTCATAAAAACACTGAAAAACACAGCAGAAGAGACTTAAAAAGCCAAAAAAAACCAAAAATGCATTACAATGCATGCACAAAACTACATATATACGCAAACACACATATATACACATATACACAAACATAAATGCACACATATACACATACACACACACACAAAACACACAAACACACTCACAAAACACTTATACACAGATTGGGCCACAGCAACGTGTGGCAGGGGACGGCTTGTATATAAATAAAAATGTAATGTTCGTTTGTGGGATTAACATAACTCAAAACCCACTGGAGGAATTGACACTAAATTTGGACAGAATACGGCTAACAACCCAATGAGTGACCATCACTCAAAATTTTTTTGATTTTGTCATTTGGAGTTGTAGTTGCTGGGATTTATAGTTCACCTACAATCAAAGAGCATTCTGAACTCCATCAATGATGGAATTAAACCAAACTTGGCACACAGAACTCCCATGACCAACAGAAAATACTGGAAGTGTTTGGTGGGAATTGACCTTGAGTTTGGGAGTTGTAGTTCAGCTACATCCAGAGAGCACTGTGGACTCAAACAATAATGGATCTGGACCAAACTTGGCACGATTATTTCATATGTCAAAATATGAACACAGATGGAGTTTGGGGGAAATAGACCTTGACATTTGGGAGTTGTAGTTGCTGGGATTTATAGTTCATCTACAATCATTCTAAACTCCACCAATGATGGAATTGAACCAAACGTGGCACACCGAACTCCCATGACCAACAGAAAACACTAGGAGTGTTTGGTGGTGCACTGACCTTGAGTTTGGGAGTTGTAGTTCATCTACATCCAGAGAGCACTGTGGACTCAAACAATGATGGATCTGGACCAAACTTGGCACGAATACTCAATATGCCCAAATATAAACACAGATGGAGTTTGGGGGAAATTGACCTTGACATTTGGGGGAAATTGACCTTGACAATCTCCACATTATCACTAGCAAAGAAACAGCAAAAAATACTGTTTATCTACAAGCATAAAGAAATTACATATATTAGAAATCAACACTTTCTCGTTACTCTATTTTCCAGATCACCAGACTGGGCCACAGCAATGTGTGGCAGGGGACGGCTAGTATTATTATAAAGTTATTGTTGATAACATATTGTTTTTGTTGACTCTCTTTCTCCACTTACAGAGCTAGTTTACTGTTTTTCTTTGAAATACGGTAAATATTAAAAAATATTTAACTTACTGATGCCTCAATAAATGTAATTTTATTGATATCTATTTTTATTTTGAAATTTGCCAGTAACTGATGTATTTACCACCCTCGGCTTATACTCAAATCAATCAGTTTGTGGTAAGATTAGGCGCTTCAGTTTATAGTCAGGTCGCCTTATACTCGAGTATATACGGTATTTATTTATACTCGAGTATATACGGTATATAGGAATAATACAAACAAATTATTTCCATATTTTTGCTGACTTGAAACAATATGAAAAACATAGCAGGGAAAAAGCGAACATTAGATGGCACTATAACATTGAAGATTATAGTTTTATCACAGCTGCCTGACTGTGGATTTCAAGTTTTTTGTGAATGCTTCCAGACTAGGGACCCTTCCACACAGCCATATAACCCAGAATATCAAGGCAGATAGTACACAATATCTGTTTCGAACTGGGTTATTTGAGGGCCCCTGCACACAGCCATATAATCCAGAATATCAAGGTACTACTGAACTGGAATATCTCAGTCCACACTGCCATATATCCCAGTTCAAAGCAGATAATGTGGGATTTTATTCGGCTGTGTGGGAAGGGCCTAGGATTGATTAGTGAGCTGACATATTAGAGTATTTAAAATCTGAGAAAGAGTAAATAAATGTGAGAACCAGCATAGTGCATTGGTTTGAATCTTTGAATGGGATTTTGAGGCCCCATCTACACTGCCATATATTCCAGTTTCTGAATCCAGATTAGCTTCTTTGAACTGGATCACATGGCAGCGTAGACTCACATAATCCAGTTCAAAGCAGATAATCTGGATTCAAAAACTGGATTATATGGCCACTGATATTTAGGTTTATAGGATCCTGAAGGAGATACAAACGAGTTTTGATTTGTTTCTCAGAAATGGAACAATCTGACTTGTAAATAATTCTTGGATTGCAAAACTCTTCCAAATGGGAGACAACTCAATACAAATAAATCAGATATCCTTGTGGGGGGTCTCCTGAGGTTGCTCAAGAATAACCCACATTATGACAATATTAAAACAATCCAAAAGAAGTAATTAAGGTAAAGAAACATTGGGTTCTTGTGAGTTTTCTGAGCTGTACTGCCATGTTCCAGAAGCATTCTCTCCTGACGTTTAGTCCACATCTATGGCAGGCATCCTTAGAGGTTGTGAGGTCTGTTGGAAACTAGACAAATGAGGCTTATATATTTGTGGATTGTCCAGCGTGGGAGAAAGAACTCTTGTCTGTTGGAGGCACGTGTAAATGTTGCAATTAGCCAGATAATCTGTATATGTATAAATCTACATGGCCGGATAATCTGAGATTTATTTATTTTTGTCGTGTCAGGAGTGACCTGAGAAACTGCAAGTCGCTTCTGGTGTGAGAGAATTGGCCGTCTGCAAAGATGTTGCCCAGGGGACACCCAGATTATTTTTGATGTTTTATCATCCTTGTGGGAGGCTTCTCTCATGTCCCCGCATGAGGAGCTGGAGCTGATAGAGGGAGCTCATCCTCCTCTCCCTGGATTCGAACTTGCGACCTGTTGGTCTTCAGTCCTGCTGTCACAGGGGTTTAATCCACTGCGCCACAGGGGGCTCCTATATATAATCTGAGATATCTCTGACAAAGAGTGCTGGTGCCGCATCAAACTACTGCTCCTGTGTGGAAGATTTTCTGATTTTCTGCTACTTCAGTAGGTAGACCATGTCTGGATGTAGATCTGCCCCAGGATCTGATCCCAGATTATCTGCTTATCCCAGATTATCTGGCAGTGTAGACTCATTTGATCCAGTTCAAAGAAGATAAACTGGTATCACATCCTGGGATACAGGGCAGTGTAGATCCAGCCCATGAACCAATGGATTCAAAAAAGCAAAGAAAAGAAATTCCAGCTAAATATTAGGAAGATATTAGGGTTAAACCGCTGAGTTGCTGAACTTGCTGACCAAAAGGTTAGTGGTTTGAATCCAGGGAACAGGGTGAGTTTCTGCTGTTAGTACCAGCTTCTGCCAACCTAGCAGTTCGAAAAGATGCAAGTGTGAGTAGATCAATAAGTACTGCTTCTGCAAGAAGAAAAAGGCACTCCATGCAGTCATGCTGGTCAGATGACCTTGGAGGTGTCTATGGACATCGCCAGCACCACTTCTGAGAGTAGGGCGCGACTGGACTTAACGTCAAAGGGAAACCCATTTGGAAGAACTTCCTGATATAAAACCAGTTCAGCAGTAAGGTGATGGATTCCCTTTTGTTAGAGGATTTAAAACATATATTGGATGCCTGTATCTTGGGGTTATTTTAGCAATATATTCTGCACTGGCAGAATATATTGCTAAAACATCACCCTACTGTGTGAAGTGAAATCTAACACATATCTGGATTGTTCTTTGGCCTGTGTTCTGAAATTCCTTCCTAAAGTACTTCCAAGCCATCTAAACTAGTAGACATTAATATAGTGTCTTTCTGAAGCTGGTTTAACAACATAGTTAACAGCTGCCATAATTCCACTTATGGCACTGTTTATTTTACATATTTTATGGACATACTACATCTGTGGTCCTCCTGCCCTAAAATCTAATTTAGGCAACCCTTTCCAAACATCTGCAGTGTTTGCAAATATACTGCCAAGCGAAATGAAAAGATAGTATTTCTTTAACTCAGCCTGGAGTTTCTGGAGACATCACATCAGAAGTGTATACAAGCTGAAATAATACTGTGAGGTTAGGATCAAGTAGTAGAATAAAAATAATGGCATTCTGCTTTATTGAACACAAATATTTCTTGTAAAGGCTAGCTTATCACTTGTCAACATGGCTT